AGTGGTTAAGAGTTCTGGCTGCTTTTGTAGAGGACCCAGATTCAGTTCCTAGCACCCATATGGTAGCCCACAACTGTCTGTAACTCCAGTTCCAGGGGATCTGACACCCTCTTCTAGCCTCCATGAGCACGAGGTGCATGCCTGGCACACAAATATACCTGTAGGCAAAAGAGCCATACAATAAAAAATAATTTTTTCTTCAAAACAAAACAAAACAAAAAAACACTGGTTGTTCTTGCAGAAGACCCAGGTTCGAATCCCAGGACCCACATGGCATCTAACAACTGTCCATAACTCCAGTCCCTGGGGATCTAAAAGCCTCTTCTGACCTCCGCGGGCACTGCATGACACGGGTGCACTTACCTACATGCAAGCAATACACGCATACACATAAAAATAATAAATAAAAAAAATTTTTAAAGAGGTATATGGACTGAAGAATTAAGAATGCGTAAATTGAGAAAACATGGGTGGAGGGAAAAATGTTTTCTTTTTAAGCAAATATAAGGAACAGAGTCAGTAAGATCAAACTGGGAGAAAGTCTTCAAGGCCTAGCAGATGGATTGGGAATTAATTTGATAAGTTCCAGTAACTGCTATGTATCTTAAATGAAGTTATAATGATTGTTTCTTTTATATTGCTCAATGAGTTCATGTTCAGCAATTCTATTTTTTTAAGTTGCTAATTTAAAAAAATTAATGGAGGCTAGGTATGGTAGTGCACGCCTTTAATTCCAGCACTCAAGAGGCAGAGGCAGGGGGATCTCTGTGAGCAAAGTCCAACATGGTCTACATAGTAAGTTCCAGACCAGCTGGGGCTACAGAGAGATCCTGTCTCAGAAAGACAAAAGAAAAAAATTAATGAAATCTTTAAAGATTCAATTTTACCCCAACATGCAGCTCAGTGGCAGAGTACTTGCCTAGACTTGGAGCCCAAGCCCTAAACAAAACAAAACAAATAAAAATAAACTATTGCCATGGAATACACAATGTCTGCACCAAACAATTGAGTCTGAGGGCAGGTGAAGGAAAATGATCCATTATCCTCCATGGTTCTTTACAGACACTCAAGAAGAAATTCCTTACACGAACATAATGGGGATGGGGAACTTCCTCTTTCAAAAATAGTACTTACAAATATTATATGCCACTGCACGTTTTAAGAATTACAGAACTTTAAAGCCAGAAAGGTTCTTGGAAATAATCTTTCAATGCTAATCCCTTCATTTTCACAACAGATTAAATTGAAGCTCAAGAATTAAATAACTTGCCTTAATATCATGTATAAGCTTGTGGAAGATTGAACACTAGAACCCAGTTTTCTAGGAAGTGAGGTCTAAAGCTGTGCCATTCAATAGTATAAACTCAGTAGTCATATTTGGCATAAAGTTAAATGATCAAAATTAAACGCAACTTTAAACTCAGTTTCCACTTGTACTAGTCATAGTTTAAGTGTTCCATACCCCACACTTGGTTAATGACTACCATATCTAACAGGATAGAAAAAAAAAGTTCCCTCAGATTTGTCAATTATACCTCAAAAAATCTGGGAAAGGGGAAAGAATATTTCCATCAATGTTGAAAGTTCAACTGGATAACACTTGTGATGGTTTAGATGAGAATGTCCCCCATAGGCTCCAAGTATTTGGACATTTTGTCCCCAGTTGGTGGCGCTGTTTTGGGACATCTTGGAAGGTGTGGCTATGTTAGAAGAAACACGTCACTGGGGGCAGGTTTAGAGTTTTTAAGCCTTGCAGGAACTCAAGTCGCTCTCTGACTTCCTGCGTCTGCTTGAATATATGTGCACTTAGCTTCTGCTCCTCCTCCAGCCACCTCTGTCACCATGCCTCCCCACCATGATGTACTGACTCTTGCCCTTTGGAACAGTAAGTTAAATAAACTCTTCTTTCTTTCTACTATAAGTTGCTTTAGTCAGTGTTTCTATCACAGCAACAAAAATGTAACTAACACAACACTGCTCTAAAGAATACACTTTAAGCCAAGTGTGGCAGTGCATGCCTTTAATTCCAGCACTCAAGAAGCAGAGGATCTCTGTGAGTTCAAGGCCAGCCTAGTCTACATAGCAAGTTCCAGGCCAGCCAGGACTTGTCTAGTAAAACACTCTCTTATAAAACAAAACAAGGGGCTGGAGAGCTGGCTCAGCAATTAAGAGCATTGGCTGCACTTGCAGAGGACCCAGGCTCCATTCCCAGCAACCTTCCAGAACTCCAGTTCCAGGGATCTAACGCCCTCTTCTGATCTCTGTGGGCACTCCATGACACTGGGTGCACCTACATACATGCAGGCAATATACTCAAATAGTTAAAAAATAAAAATTATAAATAAAATATTTTAAAAAGAAGGAGTAAGCTTTGGCTTCAGGTGTTTCAGCCACTTGAGGGAAGAGGAACAGATGACAGGAGATGGAAACAAGATCAGATTAATACACATAAACCTCACAAAGTATGCTTGATAACTGAGATAACATTGGAAAAAGAACCCCTGTACACTGTCTAGTACTTACCAGATAATAAATACTAATATTCTTCCCTTGTGGACCCTTTTTCCTTCCTACTATTCTACACAACCACCTCCTGTTAGAAGAGACAATTAAAATGACTCTCCCAAAGTAATGTCTTCCTCTTAATATAGCCCACAGCATATAACTTTCATTCTGTTCTGGCCAGTTTCTTCAAATATCTGCACCTCTCTTCCAGTGTTTCTACTTAGAAATAATGAAATAAACAATGACTAAGGAAAAATGCTATTAAGAATAATACATGTCCTCTTCTTTTTCCCCTGTTTAATACAACTATACTATACTGAATTCTCATACAAGGGATATGAAATAAAATGAGCTATTTCCAGACAACCAATCTTTGGTGCAAAAAAAGAAGATTCTATAGTACTTCTTTACTACATTCCTTTTCACCATCTGTACTAGCCGAACACTAAATGAAAAAATAACAATACATTCCTCTACAGTACTTTCCTGCTCCCAATATCCTCCCAAAACTTCCAGAAGCTAAATCTTTAAGGTTTCAGTTATTCTACTGAGCTGTAAATTTTGTATATCTGGGCTACAGCACAAAAAAACTGTATCAGGCAATAACCAAGAAAAACAACAACATTCAGCTCAGTTTGTAAACCAGTGTATTTCTAACAAGAAGCAAATTTATTTATGAGCAACAATTCATATTTAGCTACACTAAGCCACAGAGACTTGCATTCCTAACAAGTTCACCATTTTTTCATTCTCAATAATATGAATTTAAGCAGAACTTTTAACCATTCGCCTTTAAACACCCATCAGACAAGATTCCTACATGTTTGTTTAAAGCTTTTTTGCATGTTAAACAAATTATCTCTTGGAGGAGGAAAGAAGTATTCTTAATAAGTGTCCCCTTTAACCTAGTGGTGTCTTACTTTGTTCCTTAAAGATAATTTACTCAAAAATAAATTTGCTGGAACCACTGATCCCCTTTTAAAGTTTAGGTTAAGTCATAAAAACTAAATGAATAAAAATATACACTGTACTGTCATTTCATAACTCTATATGTAATAGGTAAAATTTAAACATGTTAGGTATACAAACCAGAGTACCTAATAAGAGCCAACAGGGGTCACATAAGTATTCTTAAAAACTGAAAAAAAAAGGTTTTATTGCTATCCCACGTAAATTTATTACTATCTCACTTTATACATTAAAAAGGGATACATCTATATTTGAACTGATAACATCTAATTTGTAGGACTCTATAATTATTTTTAAGTTCTTCAAAAATAATGAAGTGTACATTGGTCACAGTAGAACGGTTCAAGTAAATTTTCCTGAGGCTGCACTCTAAGTACATCCGACCCAGAAAGTATTTTTAGCAAGTGTGTTCAATAGATGGCTGGTGTTATGCCTAGCCTAAATTAGAAATTAGGTGTCATAAATTTAAAGCAACAGTGTTACTAGGGACATTTAAAAGATATTCAATTAGGACATGATGGGGGAGAGAGGAACAAAACTTGACACAATTTATCCACAGCCTAGAAGCCACGATATTAGAGAACAGAACTTTTGAGGAACCTGTAGTTTTCAAACTTAAACTTTAATCTATTCAATATTGAGAAAAACTATAAAATAGTGATACATCTGTATTTTAAAAATCTTTTTGGCCAGTGTTTAAAGCAGATTAGCTAAATCACAAATATTCTCACGTATACAACAACAAAAGATTATGTTGACCTTATAAGTCAGTCAAAATCAGGATATTATGGGGCTGTGCATATGTCTTAATACAAAATATGTACAAAGATATGAATGCCATAAAACGTGGAGACACAAAAACAGCTTTTGTGCTAACTGGAGCAGAAATATATTCTGACAAAAAACCAAAACAACAACAACAACAACAACTGTGGTGTCTAAAAGATGAGTGAGATGACTGAACCCTTTTATGAGTGAATAAACAGTTCTATATGAAATACTTAAGTTTTTCTTCCAAACTGTTTTTTTTAAAGCACACTGAATTTATAATCCTCAAACTCAAGAATTAAATAATAGGTCGAGCTCTATTCTTTTAAGCACACTGAATAACTGCTTAACGTCCTCCCCCCCCCCACCCCCAATCTGATACACTAAGGTTCAAAAGCCCAGGACTTCACAGAGCTCTGGCTTTCGCTCCAGCAGTCTTTCAGCAGGCTGACACTGGCTTTTTGTTTTTGTTTTTCCTCCAAGGCCACGTTTTAAACCTGCCCACTGGGCTGGCTCCAGAAATAAAACGTGGAGACACAAAAACAGCTTTTGTGCTAACTGGAGCAGAAATATATTCTGACAACAAAACAAAACAACAACAACAAAAATTGTGGTGTCTAAAAGATGAGTGAGATGACTGAACCCTTTTATGAGTGAATAAACGGTTCTATATGTAATACGTAAGTTTTTCTTCCAAACTGTTGAATTTATAATCCTCAAACTCAAGAATTAAATAGTAGGTCGAGCTCTATTCTTTTAAGCACACTGAATAACTGCTTAAGGTCCCCCCTCCCCAATCTGATACACTAAGGTTCAGAAGCCCAGGACTTCACAGAGCTCTGGCTTTCGTTCCAGTAGTCTTTCAGCAGGCTGACACTGGCTTTTTGTTTTTGTTTTTCCTCCAAGGCCACGTTTTAAACCTGCCCAGTAGGCTGGCTCCGAGGGCGGTCACCCCTAGCTGCTGCTCCCGAAGTGGCTGGTGGACACAGGTCCTCCCGGGGCCACTCTCGGAGCCTGCTGACCGCCCTGGCACCCTGATGGCATTCTGCATGCAGGCCAGAGTCTCCCCGCCTAAGTTTCGCAGAAACATCACCAGTGGAAGGAACTCTAGACGGTTCCGTCGGCGGGAACCCCGGGAAGGCATAGTTAGGTGTCTACAGACACCACAACTACTTTATATTTGAATAATTCTAGCTTCTCTTCAATCTCCGAATTGGCTTGTAGAAATATTTATTCCTGAGCCAATCCAGGTGTGGGAACTGTTCCTGGACATGAAGAACAATTCCATTTTTCCGGTAACTATTAACAAACACTGTCACTGAAACACAAAAATTTAAAGCCATGGGGCCACAGGTCACTCATTGCGCTTGAATTCCCAAAATGCCAGCAGCACGCATTTCTCCTCTAAGAGGTCCTAGATATTTGAAGACTAAGGCAGTGACGACTCCAGAACATTATAAAAATCGAAGTGAAGGCTTTATGTGTGTCGTGCCATTTCAACTTTCGGGGCCCAAGTACAGATTCCTAAATGCAAGTAGCTAGCAGAAGAGTCACAAGAGGCTTCCAAATTCACCCAAGCTCGTGCAGCATGCAAGAAGCGCTCAGGAGCTCTTTCTAATAATAACAGAAAAAAGGACCCCGCTGATGGACTACTCAAGTCTCTGGATTAAGCTGGAGTTTAGGTACACTGGAACATTCCATCCCCGCACCTAGTCCATCCCCAATCCCTTTCCCCGTCCCTAACGGAGATTCCAACTCGGACCCCCGGGAAGCTCCGAGTGCACGGTCCCAGGAAGAAAAAGGAAAGCGCCGTTTCTTTCCACCTTTGAACTCGACCTTGCCTGTCCTGCGGGCCACCTGGCCAGGTGCGCGCCCCGGACATGCAGAGCGGCCCGAGAAGGCCCAGCGGGGAGCCTTCCCCCGCGCGGCTTACCTTCGTTACCACAGCCGCGTCCTCTCGGCTGGAGAAAAAAGAATCCAAACGAAAGAAGCCCGGAGGCCTGCGGCCGCGCTCAGCCGAGAGGCGCGTGGCCCGCGTGGGGTGCCGGTCCGTCAGCGCCCCGCGAGCCGCCGCCACAGCGGCCGCACCTCGGCCCACGGCCGCCAGCAGCACCCCGTCATCCTGCGGGGCCGGCGGCGCGCTCGCACCTCGCAGAGAGGATGAGCTAATCCTCAACACGCGCGCCCCCCAAGTGCCGCGGGCCCCACTGCGGACCCCGGGCCAAAGTCGTCTTCCCAAGCCGGGGCCCCGCTTTCTAACAGGACCCAATAGTCCTGAGAGAACAAAATCGCGACCACAGAGCAAGAGCGCGTGTGAGGCGACGGGGACTCCAGGCGGCTTCGATGTGTGAGAGTGCAGAGGAGAAGTTCGGTCACCTCCTCCTCCTTCTCCTCCTCCTTGGCTCCTTCCTCCTCCCTCTCCTCCTCCTCCTCCTCCGTCTCCTCCTCCTCCCTCAAGCACACCCGGTCTCCTAGGCCGCAGCATAGCAACCGAACATGGCGGCTGCGCAAGCGCTGGCCAGTCAGAAGCCCGGAGCGACGGCCTCAGCAACAGGAGGTGGTATCGCGAGAGGTGAGGCCACGCCCCTCTCCGTTTCCCTCACCGGCGCCCCAGAGCCAAGGCTCCCCCCCCCTCCTCCTCTGCACCAGGTTGTCCCAACTCAGTGTAACAGAGCGTCTGGGCTTTGGGCTGCAGTTTCGAATCAGTTCTCCTCCTAAATATAGGCTCTCGGAAACAAAGCCTAAGCAACGGCATTCATATATAAAAAAACGATGAGATATTTTTTTGTGTGCCAGGAACATTGTGCTTTTTAAAATTGAATTCGTTCATTCATTTTAAGAATGGGAATTTTGCATATCATGCTAGTGCTTTAAGCTGGGTATTTTCTAATATTTTCTTGGTGATGACCTGTGATAGGACATTCCTACCAGCTGAGTGATACCAACTGAAGTAGGAGAAGGGTGGATTTGGGGGAGACCATCATGTTTCATTTTTGCCTTTTAAAATTTTTTACATTTATTCATTTTATATACACACAAAACGTGTGTATATGGATAACAGAGGACAACTTCTGAGATTTTGTTCTCTCCTTCTACCATGTGAGTCCCAGGAATCAAACTCAGGTCTTCAGATTGGGCAGCAAACACTTTCACCCTCTGATCCATCTCACAGGCCCTTGCCTCATTTTTTGTCAGTGCCCTTTTCTGTGGCCAGATTCCTTCTTGTTAGTTCTTGTTCTCAACCTCTGTATCTTACCAGAACTGGCCTTTATTAAAAACATTTCTTCAGAGGACTGGGGGGAAATAGCCCAATGGTAGAGCAATTTCCCAGTATGCACATCTTCGCTGTTCAACAAAAAAGGAGGGAGGGAGGGAGAGAGGGAAGGAGAAAGGGAGAAACAAATTTCAGTTCTAGCCTGTGTTCATTCATCCTTCCTGGAGTACCTTCGTGCCTCTAGCTTCCGTTTTCAAACCCTTTGTTCATGGTATTGCCTGTGCTAAAAGGCCCTTCACCACACCTCTATCAAGATCTATTCATCCCTCAACAAAAGATCCCAGAGAATTCCACTGGAGGAGGGAAGGAATAATGTCTTTCTGTGACACTAAGAGCCCTAGGTTTAAGCATCCCTTTGTGTTTTCTACAATGTTCATCTTCCTGAACAATCCCTAGGATTGTGTGACTATTATTGGTAGTCCATGATCTGATCTGTACTACTATCTGAGCGAAACAGCCTCTCTCTCGTTATTTCTGCAGCCCTCAGAACGCCTGAGGATATTGCCTGGCAGGGGAAAAAAGTTACTAGAAAGAATGAAGTGAAGGTAGGATTTCAAGAAAATACCTGAAATAGAGGCTAGGAAGATGACTTAGTAAAGTGTTTGCTGGGCAAGCATAAGGACCTAAGTTCAGATCCACAGAGCCCATATAAAAAACAGGCATGGTAAGACATTCACAGTTGTACAACCATCACCATTAACTCTACCTCAAAACTATCACTACTAATTATCATGGCCCCCAAAAGAAATCCCCTACCAGCTAGTCACTCTCCATATTCTCTCCAAACCCCTGCCAACTGCTACTCTATTTTCTGTCTCTGTATTCACCTACTCTGGCTATTGCATGGAAACCGAATAACTTCCTGAATAGAACCTCCTCTGGAAGTCACCTTAATGGGCCCTTTGGAGTTAACCAACACTGTTATTCCTAGAGAATTCTGTATTCACCTTAAATCTACTTTCCTGCATCACTAGAAAGGAAGGACTAAATAATTGTCAAAGAGATGAAGGAGAGGAGGAGGAGGAGGAGGAGGAGGAAGAGGAAAAGAAAGGAGAAAGAGGAAGAGGAAGGAGGAGGAGGGGAGAAGAAAAAGGAGGAAGAGGAGGAGGAGGCAGTTGCTTTATAGGCTGGGGATGTAGCCCAGTTAGTATCATGCTTGCCTTGCATGCATGAAGACCTATGTTCAATCCTCAGTATGTCATAAAACCAGACACGGCAATCCACACCTGTAATCCCAGCACTTGAGAGAGAGAAGCAAGAGGATCAGAAATTCAAAGTCATCCTCAGCTACATAGCAAGTTTGAGGCCAGCCTGGACTACATGAGACCCTGCCTTTAAAAGTAAATGAATAAAATAATTTATTTTTAATAAATAAATTACTGAATGCCCAGTTTTCATCCTAGCTCAACAAAAGCTGAACTGGGAAAGAAGTTCAAGTTTCTTATATTTTAATGTATATATGTCACCTGGATGTCTTGTTAAAAATGCAAAATGCAGGTTTAGAGGCTAGAAAGATGGCTCAGGGATTTAGGGTATGTACTGCTCTTGCAGAAGATCCAAGTTCCCAGTGTCCACATCAGGTGGCTCACAACCATATGTAACTCCAGCTCCATAGGATCTGATCACCTTTACAGGCACCTGCATTCGTGTGTGTGCATGAGCACAAACACACAGACACACAAACAAAAATAAAAATAAAGGACTGGAGAGATGGCTCAGTGGTTAAGAGCACTGCTGCTCTTGCAGCTAGCAACATCTGTAACTCAAGTTCCAGGGGAATGCAATGCCCTCTTCTGACCTCCTCAGGAATTGCACTTACATACACACAGGTAATACACACATTATTAACACATTACTTACATACGTGCAGGTAATACACTCATACACATAAAATTAATAAATAAAAATAAGTAGATAAATTAAAAACAAACCAGGCATGATGGCACACACCTTCGATCCCAGCACTTAGGAGTCAGAGGCAAGCAGGTTTCTTTGAGATTGAACTCAGCCTGGGATAGTCTACATGGCAAGTTCCAGGCCAGCTGGAGCAACATAGCAAGACCCTATCTCAAAACAACATAAAAAATAACAACAACAATAATAAAAACAAACCACAAGAATTTTTTAAATGCAAGTTCTGGGCTGGAGAGATGGTTCAGCAGGTAAAGGCCACTTGTTGCCAAGCTTGACCTGAGTTCAATTCTCAGGACTCATGTGATGGAAGGAGAGAACCTAATCCCAAAAGTTCTCCTCCAGATTCAACATGCCTGCCGTGGCACACACCTACCACAACAAGCACACACACACACACACACACACACACACACACACACTCAATAAGTCAATAAGTCAACAATGTAAAAATAGTTTTCAAGAATTCAGATTCCAATTTACTACATCTGGGGTGGGCCCCGAGACTTCATTTCTAACAAGCACTCTGGTCCCTGGATGAACCGGACATAACAAGAACATAGTTGTTTATGTAAAGTCAAAGGAAATGTTCTTGTACTTGCAAGTTCTCTGAAACAATATATGAATTTCTGCTCTTATTTAAATTTTCTTCTTTAAAATAATATATTTTAACACCTGTTCTGATAATCTGATGATCACTTTGCAACCAAACACTGTACTTGACTTTATACTTGACCCTAGTTATAACCACAGGAATGAGTTCCACACTGTTATCATGAGACAATTTAATTTTAGTAAAACATCATCCATCACATTACATACATAATATTAACTGAATTTTAAAGTTGATGAGTTCATTTTGTATGTTGCTTTATTTCATAGTTGTAGAAATCTGTGAGAATAAGGAATTTCTACCTAATCTAATACTTGCACCAAAGAAACATAAGATAATTAAACAATTGGGAATTAGCAAGGCTCCTTTTTTTTTTTTTCAACTTAAAACTGGCAAGCAGTACTGATTATTGGCAGGCACTGTTCCTGACTGTGACTCTTTCCTGTGTTTGCAACCTGTCCTTGGCTGTGCTTTTGAACAAGGGCTTTGTCTATACTTGGAGGTGGTAGCAGGCAAGAATGACTGGCCCTTTTGCACTATTCAGCTGATGGCAGGACTTCTCCTAACCCTGGGTAGCTAGGGCCTGGAGGGATAGGCATTTGTTCTGTCTGTGCAGCCAAGTCCACCACCTGGGCCTTGGCAGTGGCCCCAGGCAGCAGCAATGGAAGAGAGCCTTTGACTGGATTGTAGCTGACTCATCAGCTACCCTACCAGTGACTTGGGAAGAAATAAATAGCCTAAGCCTGGAGCTAGGCCTGGTGGTACAGAGAGAAGGCTCACAAGTTCATGAGTAAGTTCAAGGGCAGCCTGAGAAACGTAGACCATAACTCAAAATAAAAATAACAGCAACAACATCAAAAAGGAGGAATGGGCTACTGAGATGGTGTTCTAGTTAGCTTTTCTGTTACTGTGCTAAAACTCTGACCAAAACCAACTTGAGGAAGAAAGGGTTTATTGCATCTTACACTTCCAAGGACAATCCATCTTTGAGGAAAGTCAGACAGGAACTGAAGCACAGACCCTGGAGGAATGCTGCTTACTGGCTTGCTCCTCTGGCCTGTGCTCAGCATGCTGGCTTGCTTGTTTGCTT